CCACTGTGCCTGACCACATATTTTGGTTATTAATTCCATTTTGGATGAGTAGTTCACAGATGTTTTCTCTCATTCTGCATGTAGGTTGTCTCTTTACTTTGTTGATCGTTTGCTGTGCAGAAGCTTTTTAGCTTGATATAATCCCATTTTGTATATTTTTGCTTTTGTTGCCTATGCTTTTGAGGTCTTACCCTCAAAAAATCTTTGACCAGACCAATGTCCTAAAGTATTTCCCCAGTGTTTTGTTTTGTTTTGTTTTGTTTTTTTAGTAGTTTCATAGTTTTAGGGCTTACTTTTAAGTCTTTTTTTTTTAATTGAGTTTGAATCTCACTCTGTCACCCGACTGGAGTGCAGTGGCACGCTCACAGCCACTACAGCCTTGACCTGCTGGGCTTAGGTAATCCTTCCACTTTAACCTTCCAAGTAGCTGGAACTACAGGATTGTGCTACCATGTCTGGCTAATTTTTTTGATTGACTATAGAGACGAGGTTTTGCCAAATTACCCAGGCTGGTCTTGACCCCTGGGCTCAGGCAATCCTCTTGCCTCGGCCTCCCAAAGTACTGGGATTACAGGCTCGAGCCACTGCACTCTGCCTACACTTAAGTCTTTAATCCAATTTTATTTGATTTGTGTATATATTTCGAGAGTTAGGGGTTTAGTTTTATTCTGCATTTGGATATTCAGTTTTTCCAGCACCATTTATTGAAGGAGGGTATCCTTTTCCCAATGTGCAAGGCGGGGGGGGGGGGGCAAAAAACTGGAATTATCTTTTGGAGGGTGGGCCGCTTGTAGTACACTTGCAATTTGTTCCTCTGGTCAAAGCTTTTTTTTTTTTTTTTTGAGTTGGAGTCTCACTCTGTTGCCCAAGCTGGAGTGCAGTGGCACACTCATGGCCACCCAGCATCAACTGGGCTCCGATGGTCCTTCCACCTCAGCCTTCCAAGTAGCTGGAACTACAGGCATGCACTACCACGTCTGGTTAATTTTTGATTTATTGTAGAGACAAGGTCTCACCAAGTTGCCAGGGCTGATCTTGAACCCATAGACTTAGGCAATCCACTTGCCTTGGCCTCCCAAAGTGCTGGGATTACAGGCTGAACCATCGAGCCCAGCCTGGTCAAAGTTTTTATCTGGAAGTTTTGAGAAGGTTGCATCACTATTTGTGGAAAAACGTCCAGAGTTGTGTCAAACAGGTTACTGGTTCTTCCACTCTGTAACAAGGCACCTGCCCACACCACATTTGAGTGTTCAGCAGTTTTTGACCAAAAAACAACATAAACCCCTGTGTCTTGTCCTGAGCAACTTTTGTTTCCCTGGATAAAAAAAGTTCTCAAAGTCTCCGTTTTGTGGAAGAGGTGAAATAAAAAATAGCAGAAGCACTAAATGGCATCCAACTGACGAATTCAAAAACTGTTTTGAGCACTGAGAAAAGCATTTCAATAGGTATATTGTATCAAATGGAGAGTACTTTGAAGGTAACTGAAGTTGAAACATGTAAGAACAAATATACAATTTTCTATAAATAAGTCCTGGGGTGTTTTGGGGTCCCCTCTTACATATTCTTGGTACCTTTGTCAAAAACGAGTTGACTGTAAACATGTGGATTTATTTTTGAGTTCTCTATTCTATTCCAGTGGTCTCCGTGTGTCTCTGTTTTTATCCCAGTATCATGCTGTTTTGGTTACTACTGCTTTGTAGGATATTTTGAGGTAGTGTGATGTCTCCAGCTTTGTTCTTTTTGCTCAGAATTGCTTTGGCTATTCAGAGTCTTTTGTGACTTCATACAAATTTTAGGATTTTTTTTTTCTATTGCTGTTAAGAATGTTATTAGTATTTTGGTAGAGTGTTCATTGACGCTGTAGATTCCTTTGGAGTGCTATGGACACTTTAGGAATACAGTATTAAGTCTTCTAATCCGTGAACAGAGGATATCTTTCCTTTTTCTCTCCAATTTCTTTTACCAATGTTTTATAGTTTTCATTGAAGAGATCTTTCACTGCTTTGATTTAATTTCTTTTTAGATTTTCTTTTGGTAGTTATTATAAATGGAATTGCTTTATTGATTTATTTTTCAGATTGTTTGCTGTTAGTATTTATAAATGCTGATTTTTGTATGTTGATTTTGTATTTTGCAGCTCTAGTCAATTCATTTATCAAGTCTAGCAGTCTTTTCATGTCTTCAGGGTTTTCCAGATATAAGATTATATTATCTGTAAGCAAGGGTAATTTGACTTCTTCCTTTCTAATTTGGATGCCTTTTATTAGTTTCCCCTCCTTAATTGCCGACCAGGACTTCTAGAACCATGTTGAATAAAAGTGATCCTTTTCTTGCTCCAGATCTTAGAGGAAAGGCTTTCAATTTTTCCCTGTTCAGTATGACATTAATTTTGGGTTTGTCAAATACGACCTTTATTGTTTTGAAGTATGGTCCTTCTGTATGCAGTTTTTTGAGGGTTTTTTTTTTTTCCAAGTTGGAGTCTCATTCTGTCGCCCAGACTGGAGTGCAGTGGCCACTCCCGGCCACCGCAGCCTCGACCTGCCGGGCTCCAGCGATCCTTCTGCCTCAGTCAGCCTTCCGAGTAGCCGGAATTAGAGGCGCGTGCTACCACGCCCGGCTGATTTTTTGACTTATTGTAGAGATGAAGTCTCGCTGCCCAGGCGGATCTCGAACCCGCGGGCTCAGGCATTCCACTCACCTCAGCCTCTCAAGGCGCGGGATTACAGGCTGAGCCACCAAGCCTGGCTTGTTGAGGGTTTTTATCATGAAGGGATGTTGAATTTTATCAAATGTTTCTTCAGCATTGGTTGAATGATCATATATGGTTTTTGTTCTTGATTCTGTTAACGTGATGTTGTGCACGTTGAGCCATTTTTGCATCCCAGGTATGAACCCAGTTGATTGTAGTGAATGATCTTTTTGATGTGTTGTTGAATCCAGTTTGCTAGTATTTTATTGAGCTTTTTTGCATCTGTGTACATTGGCCTTTGGTTTTCATTTTTGGTTATGTCTTTGTCTTGTTTTGGTAACAGGGTAAAGCTGGCTTCATAAGATGAGTTTGGAAGTATTTCCTCCTTTTTTATTTTTTAGTACAGTTTGAGTAGAATTTGTGTGAATTCTTCTTTCTCAGAATTCAGCAGTGAAACCATTAGGTCCAGGGCTTTGCTTTGGTGGCAGTCTTTATTCCTTACTGTTTCAGTCTCATTATTCATGTATTGGTCTGTTCAGCATTTCTGTTTCTTCATAGTTTGATCTTGGTTGGTTGTATATGTTCAAGAATGTATTCATTGCCGCAGGTTTTCCATTCTGTTGGTGTCTAGTTGCTCATTTTTGTGAGTTTACTTTTTTTTTTTTTTTTGAGTTGGGAGTCTCACTCTGTCGCTCAGACTGGAGTGCAGTGGCCGCTCCCGGCCACCGTAGCCTCAACCCGCTGGGCTCTGGCGATCCTTCTGCCTCAGCCTTCCAAGTAGCTGGAACTATAAGCGCGCACTATCACACCCAGCTAATGTTTTTGATTTATTGTAGAGATGAGATCTCGCCAAGTTGCCCAGGCGGGTCTCGAACCCGCAGGCTCAGGCAATCCACTTACCTCGGCCTCCCAAAGCGTGGAATTACAGGCTGAGCCACCAAGCCCGGCTGTGAGTTTACTTATTACTTTTTTTTTTTTTTTTTTTTTTGAGACATCTTATTCTGTTACTCAGGTTGGAGTACAGTGGCGTGATTATTGCTCACTGCAGCTTCTATCTCCAGGGCTCAAGCGATCCTCCCAATTTAGCCTCCTCAGTAGTTAGGATTATAGATGTGTGCACCATGGCTGACTAATTTCTAAAAAAAATCTGTGGTGTCAGGGTCTTACTGTGTTGCCCAGTCTGGTCTCAAACTCTTGTCTTCAACCAGCCTTCCTACCTGGGCCTCCCAAAGTGTTTGGATTACAGGTGTGAGCGACTGCACTCAACTAGCTTTTGTATATTTTCATAGCTCCTTTTATAGCTCCATAGTCATTTAGTTTTGATATAAAATGTTATTGGTTTTTACTTTTATGGATTTCTTTTTTTATTTTTTGAGTCAGAGTCTCACTTTGTTGCCCAGGCTAGAGTGTAGTGGCATGCTGCTCACGGTCACAGCAGCCTCAACTTGCTGGGCTCAGGTGATCCTTCCATCTCTGCCTTCCAAGTAGCTGGAACTGCAGGCATGCACCACTATGCCCAGCTAATTTTTTAATTTTTATTGTAGAGACAAGGTCTCACCATGTTGCCCAGGCTGGTCTCGAACCTGTGGACTCGGGCAATTCTCTTACCTCCGCCACCCAACGTGCTAGACTTACAGGCATGAGCTGCCGTGCCTAGCTTATTTTTTTGTTATTTGTATTTCTTTTCCATAATTGTGAGACCCCCAAAATAAGTCAGGGTATTATTGATTGTAAGTACATAAGATGATTTTCCTATCCTTGCTGCACTGTGTAAAAATATTATGCTTGCATTACTTTCTGTCAACAGCTGGTAATCTTTATCTTTTCCCACATTCTTTCATTCTTCTCTACTTCTGCTGAAATTGTACATTATCCTGGTTATGTCTGATTTTTGAGGCATTCATTAGCCAAAGAGAAAGTTAATGTATACCTTACATAGATGAACAAATGAATATGATTAAGCAATGTAGAGCCAAAGGTTGGTAGGTTTTATTTATTTATTTATTTGAGAGCCCATGCCCTTTCTGCAGAGGGTCATATCCTTTTTTATTTTTTTAATTTTTAATTTTTATTTTTATTTTAAAGATGTTGGGTACAATTCAGGGTTAGGTATGCAAATATTACGCATGTACCCTTGTTGGTTGGTAGGTCTTAAATCTCTTTTAGGTCTTCATGTGTTTTGCATTAGTGCTTTCACTTAATTGACATTTGTGAATGTCATTGTACTTTTCAAAGATATTGGGTTGTTGAACTGTAACGTGTATGTATATTAAAGTCATGACATTTTATATGTGTTTTTTTTCTTTTATAGAGTGAGTCTTTGGTGGTTTGTGATGTTGCTGAAGATTTAGTGGAAAAGCTGAGAAAGTTTCGTTTTCGCAAAGAAACAAACAATGCTGCTATTATAAGTAAGCTAAAAGCGATTGTCTTAAAGTTACATGTTTAAGTTTGTTTTTATCTTTTAACTGCATCGAATAAACTGAACCTTTAGAAGGTAATGTTGCCTCCGTTTTCCCCGCCATTGCCACCTTTAGATCATTTTTTAAAAAAATAAGTGGCTGGGTATGTGGCTCATGCCTATAATCCCAGCACTTTGGGAGGCTGAGATGAGAGGATTGCCTGAGTCCACGGCTTTGAGACCAATCTGGACAACTTGGTGAGAACTCATCTCTACAATAAATCAAAAAATTTAGCTGGGCATGGTGGCACGTGCCTGTAATTCCAACTACTTGGAAGGCTGGGGCAGAAGGATCACCTGAGCCCAACAGGTCAAGGCTACAGTGGCCGTGAGTTTGCCACTGCACTCCAGCCTGGGCGACAGAATAAGACTCCAACTCAAAAAAATAATAATGATAAGCAACAGCTAATTCTAATGTCACAGAACGGAGGTGGAGTGCCCCACCACCCCCATAGTCCTTGTCTCTGCTGCCTACATAGTTCTGAAGAGGAGGTGGTCTTGTTGGTCACTTGGGGAATGCGAATTCCCTTTCACAGTAACCCATCCAACTTCATCCTTCTTGGGGGGGACTCAAAATAGCATGGCCATTGATCCTGAAACAGGGACCTTTGCCTAAACCTAAAATGGTAAAGTTCAACATTGTGTCTAGAGCAACTGTGGGCCTTACTCTAATTTGGATCTGAACTCTAGTTTCATGGAGAGAACTTTAAATGTCACTGTTTTCTGAAAATGGAAAGGGTGATTTGCATATTGCCTTTTCGATTGTGAGCTGTATCTGACTTTATACAAATATCCTTTGTATTCATAGGTAATATTTAATATGTGGGTAGTGATTTGGAAAGGTGAGGGGGTGAACGTGTAAAACACTGTAGACTGTGCTTAGCAGAGATGCATTTGGCAGATGTGATTTAATCAGAGGTGGAGAAAACTTGTCATGAATTCTGGTTTTATTACAAATAAATACAATGTCAGCATACAGTTCTTAAAAGTGAAAATGTGTGTGTCAGTGTCATTTTACCTAAAAGGTGAAACTATGTGAGATTGTATTGTATCTCACTAGATTTACTTTGAAATTAGTACAGAACCAAGTATGGTCAACTTTGTAGACTAACGGGAAAGAATAGAGGCATAGATTATCTAAGTTTATTTTGATTTGGCTTTGGACTGTATTAGATACATTTAAGTATAGATATCACTGCTATTTGGTAATTTCACTTCTCAGAATAATGATAATGTCCTATGAAATCCCAACTCTAGAAAAGCTGGGAATTTCAAGGTTTCTCTGTCCTCACCACTGGCCTACTTGTCCCTTGTAGTTCTGACCGTGTTGCACATAGACCAATCTCAATCACAGTCACTCTTTCAGACTTTTTAAAAAAATTATCTAGGAAGTTGCATTTGAGGTACACCGTTGTTCACATACACAGGAAATGTAAGGAGTTGACAAAGTTCTAAAAAAGTAGAGTCCGTGCTGGTTATTTTTATTTTTATTTTTTTGAGTTGGAGTCTCACTCTGTCGCCCAGACTTAAGTGCAGTGGCCACTCCCGGCCACCTCAGCCTCGACCTGCTGGGCTCCGGTGATCCTTCTGCCTCAGCCTTCCAGGTGCTGGTTATTTTTAAAGCTGACTGCTTGAAAAGCAAAGCTAGCCAATAGACCATAAATTAAAACTGCAAATGAGTTATATGCTTGTGTTTCTTGATGTTTTAATTTTAGATGCCCCCAAAAGGCTGAGATTGTGTGGGTTGGGTAGATCAAGGTCACATTCGAATCACAGTTTACTCATGTTGTATTTTCATTTTAGTGAAGATTGACAAGGATAAACGCCTGGTGGTACTGGATGAGGAGCTGGAGGTTTGTGCAATGAACTAAATACAATTTTATAGTTAAGCAATTGCTATGACTCAAAAGATGCAGTGTTAGTTACATGTGAGTTGTGGGCCTCTTTTGATATTGCTCATTTTGCAGGAAGATCATGTGCTAATTGTTGTGTAGTAAATTGTGTTGCTAATTTAACTACCTTCTTTAAAGCATTCATGAAATCCAGTGTCATAAGTGGTAGAAGTTAGGCTATATGCCCAGCAAGAAGCAAGTCAGCTTTACAACTTGCTTCTAAATTACTTGGATAGTAATTAAAATCTAGAACCCTACAACTTAAGGCTTTAGTGTGTCAAATGAAATAAGTAATTTAGAGTGAAAAGTAATTAACTTTTTGTGTCTGAAATCGGATGTCATTGTTTCCTCTATGGTGTTGGCTTATGTCATTCTGTTTTTCCTGACAATTGGAACATAAGAACAGAATCTGTGCCTCTCAGCCTCATGTTTATTTAATGAATGGAACTAAACTGAGTGGGCTAAAATGGGCTTTGATTGGATTGAGAGTTCAATAACCTCCATTTATGTACAGTTTAGTAAGGTAAAAGTTTATTTTGTGGCATGTGGTAATGAATTCATAACTACTAGTAGATTGGGCTATCTTTTAAGGTCTTATCGATAAGAAAATGGTTTAAAGTTGCTTTTCTCTGTGGTGCCAGGGCATTTCACCAGACGAACTTAAAGATGAACTACCTGAACGACAACCTCGATATCCTTTTCTTACTGCTTTGAAAAGATTAGTTTTCTTTAGTGGTCAAAGTTTTATTTGCAAGCTCATTTGTTAAACTTTTTTTTTTTTTTTTAAATAGAGGTGAGGTTTTGCTGTGTTGCCTAGGCTGGTTTCAAACTCCTGGGCTCAAGCAATCTTCCCGCCTTGGCCTTCCAAAGTGCTGGAATTACAGGCATGAACCACCATGCCTGGCCTCTCATTTGTTAAATTTTTAAAAGACTTACATTTTTACAAGATATCCTTCTATGTCATGATCACAGCTAAATTGAAATGTGTGCATATGTTGGACTAGAAGAAATGAAAAGTTGATGTATTGGTGGAATGAAGCATTTTCTTTTTTAAATAATTGCTTATCCTGTTTGTACAGTTCTCTTTATTATAATGTATGTACAAAAATTGAGAAGAAAAGACCATATTAAATTCAACTTTAAAAACTTTTGTAACTTATCTTTGGGACTCAATTATAATTTTGTGAAAAGATAAAAAAACAATGTTGCCTAAATGAACTGGACATAAATCTGTAACTCAGTAACTCACTAGGTATTGGTAAGTACTTGTCTCAGAGCAGTAACCTTACTTTCTTTAACTTGAGAAAAACCTTCATTGTGTATAGTTATAAATACCAACATGATGATGGAAGAGTTTCATATCCTCTGTGTTTTATTTTCTCCAGTCCTGTTGGTAAGTGAGTTTCTTTAAATAATACATATTTGGCTTTGATCCATCTAAACTGTTTTTATACTAGACAGATTTTGTACTGTTTTTAAAGATGAGTGTTGGAGGAAGGTATGTGTGTACATGCATATGTGCTTGCAGGCACCTGCAGGCATCCCTGGAAAGATATTACTAGAAAGCATTATCTCTTTTAACTTGTTCATTTTCTTAGGATAAATTGCTAGAAGTATAATTGAGTCAAATCATTCATACATTTTAAGGATCTTGAGATATAATGTCATTTTTTTTGAGCTATCAGAAGTATATTTCCTTATATGTTTTCATCTTGTCTATAAGTATATGAACTTTGTGTATAATCGTGGTATATGTGTTTATCTTTTAAATAATAGTTACCAGTGATATGCCCATAATCTTGAGAATGATCGCAGAGTAGCTTACATGGGTATTAAAGTGGGTACTTTATTTTATTTTATTTTATTTTATTTTTTGGAGTTAGAGTCTCACTCTGTCGCCCAGACTGGAATGCAGTGGCCGCTCCCGGCCACCGCAGCCTCGCCTGCTGGGCTCCGGCGATCCTTCCGCCTCAGCCTTCCAAGTAGC